AAGCAAACACACAGCTGTTCATGCTGACACCTAACGAGCTGCTCGTGTCCACGGGAGCAGAAAGTGTGCCACGCACACCGAATCACTCATTTCACATGTATGACAGACATGTGAATCTGCTCTCAAAACGTTGCGTCAGAACGCAGAGAAATGACCGAGGAACGGAGGCAGATTATCAGCACTGTGGACGCTGACTGGAAGCCCAACGGGCTCTGAAGGCTAACATGAGTGACCGGACTCACAAACATCACACGGCTCAGATCCAAACCTGTTTAACAGACCCCGTCCCTTTCACAGCAGTAACACAACTTCATTAAATGAAGAACTAAAAGGCTGAAGCCAACATAGAGTAACTGTGGTGTGTGAGACACTCATCGATCCCAAAAAGGTTCCAATTTCATCTTTAGAAGAACGAAGGAGCAGCGAGAGAACAAGAACGCAAACGTTCAAATCACTTTAACCCAACAGCGCCCATGTGACGTAGGGCTGTGCAGGTACGAGTACAGGTGAACACACAGGGAATTTACAGCAAGCATCACCTGTGGCTCGCTACATCCAGGCAGCTCTGTTAGCTAAAAACTCTGAAGCGCACAATTTCAGCTGTGTGTGAAGCGATCAGTGATCCAGGTCGTCGTCGCCTCGGAAAGAAAAGCGTCTGGACTGAAAATGTGGGAAAGAAGCTTCTCAGCTGAGAGACTGTTTCATGCTGTGGGCTGATCGATGTGATCGATCCAACAATCACTGAAGCTCATATATGAAATCCTCCATGACACTCTTTCATATACTGTGTGAGGCAGTTATCACAGCTCTGTTTAGTTTGGAGTCTAGAACAGCTGCAGCCGGCCGGCAGATCTGATTACAAGAATAATAACACTGTTCATGTGCCGTAACATTTCACATATAAATCTAATTATTGCTTTTTGTGCAAATTCTTGACGGGATTTAAGCCTTTTTAACAGCAGCTTTGCTCACCGCTGTTACACTGTCAATTACAAAATGTTTTTAAGCATTTTTAAATGTCTATTTCAAAATGTAAACTCATTTTAAATGTTGAAAAACATTAAAACTATTAAAGGCATTTGTGACCAAATCCAAAGTTAGCGTATCCAACACTGTGGCAGCGCGGCTTCATGAGAAATCTAGAAATAAAATATAACATTTAAAAATATATAAACTGTGTTAAAAACATACAGATTTCTTTTTTGTACAGTTTTTACATATTGCATAATATATATTCAGTTATATTCTATTATCCTTTATTTTAATTTAATAGCTTTTGTGAGTGTGACTGTTTTTTTGGAGGGGGGATAAATTTTATATTAACATATTTTTATTTTTTTAATTATAAATTTATTATAATATAGTGAAGAGCAAATTTTTTTTAATGAATCGCACGAATTTTGCTGCTGTCAGAGTTTGAGCGCCATAACTGTGAGAGAAAAACTGTCATTCCTTTAGTTTATATACATTTGTGTGTGTGTGTGTGTGTGTGTGTGTGTGTGTGTGTGTGTGTGTGTGTGTGTGTGTGTGTGTGTGTGTGTGTGTGTGTGTGTGTACAGATAGATGGTTTGTCTTTCTCAGATCACATGGCAGCGATGTACCGTACCTCCATGGCGAGAGCAGCAGTTTGCTGGTCGTAGTGGTTCAGGACGTTGGGCATGAAGGTGGAGTTGTAGGGCAGCCCCTGACACATGCGCAGGGTGATGGGCTCACAGGTGAACAGACTGTGGCTCCCAGCCACAGCATCCATGGGGACAGCAACACACACGGTCAGCATGGACACGGAAAGCACCCACAGGAGATCCATGATCCGTACGGGAGAAAAGAAGCAAGACCCAGGAGACGGCGGCTCACGGAGAGGGCTCGAGCCCTGTCAGCATCGTGGGCTTTAACCAGGAAGTGGGAAAAATTACCAGACTTAAGGACTATCTGTTTGCCCCTTCCTCCTCGTTAGATCACAGAGAAACACCGTGGGCTGAGCAGCGTAATCCAACAGGGCCAAGTTGGCTGCATCCATCACCATGACTACACTGAGTCACAGGGCCTCCATCACCTAGGTGATGCTGTGGTCCTTTAAGATGCTGAAAACACTCCTCCGTCTCCTGCCTTCACAGACGGCGATGATGCTGGAGGAAATATGAGCGACGACCCCCTGTGGAAACGATGCTCTGCCTGCAATCAGAAGAATACAGTACAGCAGCTTGTAAATGTAAATGTTAGACGTTAGTGGTCCAATAATTACAACAAGTGCAAACCAAAAGGAAACCTTTTAACTGAAAAAATGGACTAATTGTAAGCGGAGCAGCACACAAACGGCTGCTTTTCAGGTCACTGACTATGGCTGGGTTCTGCCCATCAGTGTCCACATTAAATGCATTATTAAACAGCAATAGATCATTACAAAATAAGCAAATGAGCGAGCATTTAAAGAGCAAGTCTGAAGAGATTTACTCTGCGTCCCGCAGTACTTCTGTAGTAATAACAGTGGTAATAGCAGCAGCTGTGGTAGTAGACACCTCCGACCATTAATAATATTATTATTTTTACAGTTATCTGCACTAATCACAGCTCAGAAACTGTTTAAGTCATTTATTAAAGTTATTTGTTATTTATAGAGCACATTTTTATCCATCGCTGCAGCACACACCCTTCCCAGCCCCGCACCTTTGCCCCCGACCAACACGTCAAACACGGCCTCTGCTCCGTCGCACCTGCCGGTGTCTAACCCGGCCGCACTTCAACTTTCATTATTAACGCGTCCATTAGCCTACCTGTGCGTCAGCGCTAACGGGCTCCTCCTATAGCTCCTCACCGGGACTCAGGCACTAATTGCTGCTCATACATGGGAGTGTACTGCCGAGCGTTACACGGAGGCTCGTCGCGGTTGCCGCTGTAACTGACCCGCAGCAATAAAAACGAGCGACCTGAGCCGAGAGAAGCGTGAACGCGGCGCGGCGCAGACAAAAGATGACGGTTAGTTCATCCTGACTCACGGTAACCGCTCCGCACCGGTGCATTCAGTCACCGAGCCGGGCGGCAGCGGAGGCGGTGGTCTACGAGTAACACCCGCTGAATTTAACGCAACTTTACCTGAACGCTGTCCGCAAAATTCGGGGAGTAAGCGGGGTCTTCGCCGGTCCTCGAGTTGGTAACAATGACTGAATGTCCCTCCACCAGCACCCTCCTCTCCTCCTCTTGTCCTCTTCCTCCGTCCTCCTCCCCCGCTCTCCCCCCTCTACGTAGAGCGACAAGTGCGCGAGACTTTTTTAACGGCTTCCGCTACGGACTATCAAATTAAAAGCCTCTTCCACAAACGCCCGACTTCGTGGACGCCAAAACACGACTACAGTGAGCTTTAGTCGAGCTGAATACAGGTGAAAGAAGCGATACGCTGTTTGCCACCTTAGTCGCGGATGTTGGCCCAATTTATTGCAACATACAAAAATATAAAAACTTTTTTTAGTTCAACAATAAAAGTTAAAAGTGTTGAAAATTGTGCTTAAATGATTTACATTTGATATGCCCACCTTTGTTTACAACTCAGCCTGAACTCCCAGAGTCAAGCTTTCTTGTCATTTCTTTAAATATCCTCAGGAATAGTTCTCAGGCTTCTTGAAGGACATTCAAACAAGGGCGTCATTTCCAGGGGGGTTATGACCCCCCCTCCCTGGAATGTACCCAGATTTATTTATTTTGTTTGACAGAGGTCTTGCATTTCTATCCAGGTATGTTTTTACTGCATTGGCCGTGTGTTTGAGATCACCGCCTTGCTGAAAAATAAAGAAATGGAATCAGATTCTTTCCACCTGGGACTGCATGGTGGATGAAAACTTGACGGTGCTTTTCTGTGTTCATAATTCAATCAGTTTTGACAAGATCTCCAACAGCACTGTCTGAAAAGCAGCCCCAGACCACGGCAGAGCCTCCACTGTTTTAAACATGGTTGTAGAGACTTCTTCTTGTACCTCTTTCCTGATGACCCCTCGACATACTGATTAATCCAATACTTGAAACGAAGAATTTCACATCCAACCTGTTGTCATTGATTTTCATCCCAGTTCTTGTGTGAAGTGGCATACCTCAGCCTTTTCTCCCTGTTTCACTTCCTGAACAATGGCTTCTTGGCAGCCACCCTTCAACTGAAAGCATTTCTGATGAAGCGTCAGTGAACAGTAGACCGATTATCTGAAGCTCCAGATGCATCTCTCAGATCCCGTGTCAGGTCTTGGGTGGATTTTTTCCCTTGTTTCTTAAGGACATGGCGTTTAGATATTGGGATCTGCTGCAGATGGTTTTGGCTGACAGCTTCCTGTTTGTCCTCCACATGTCTAGTTTTCAAAATGATATAATCCAGCTAGTACATAGTTAAAGCCAAACAGTTGTGCTCTTAAGTTTACATTAAGACATTTGTGTAGTAAATTTCACAATTCTGAACTTGTGTAATATGGCTGGTTTTTGGTTTTGCTGTAATAGTTTTCAGCTAACAGCTCTTTGGGAATCATCTTAATGGTGCAAAGTGATCGTTTGGTGCCAAACTGTGTTGCTGTAGGTGGGGTTTGTAGGTTCAGCTTAACCTTTGGGACCAAATATGCTTTTGCGACTGGTTGCTAGTGCTTAGTGCTTAAAAATACATATTTAAAACTGCTTCTTTGCTGACGTCCTGTCTGTTATGTGTAGAGTAAACAGCGGCTGTGTTAGGTGTTGTTTCATGCTGACTGGTCACAGGTCAGGTTTAAGCGGCTTAAAGACGGAGAGAAGGACGAATCTTTAAATCTCGTCAGAGAGACTTTGAAAGACTTCTTGGTGTCTTTGCTTTTCCAGTGAAACAAACGTTTCTTCGTCAGTCCAATAAAGAGTGAACTATTACTCTGAAGGCACAGGGGTCGTTTCCGGTTACACTCCCGCGTGTCTAACTTGACGCAGTTCTCCGTTTTTCTTCGCAGCAGGTTTTCTGTCCTCGTTGCGCGCGACCGCCCATCCGAGAACGAGCAGGCTTTGAATCAGAAACTTGTGTGACTGCTGGGAGTGAAAGCGTGGAGCTGGAGGCCTGCGGGACACAGCAGACACAGCCCTGAAGATGCTGTTGGTTTATGATTCTTATTACACACCAGCTGTTGGTTATTACTCCGTAAACAGATTCGTTTGTCCGGGCTTATTACTGCTGGTTCTGCTGCTGCGACAGTCAATAATAATGCTTTGTTTTTCTGTTGCTGTGTCAGCCAATGCGATGGTCTTTATAGTAACTGCAGTGTCAGGACTTCTGCACCACGTTTGTCATCATTAGAGCGAGGGAGGCCCGCACACTCTGCTTTTCTCTGCAGCGACACCCACATCACCGCCTCCATGTGTGTCACAGGCTGTGACAAGCAGGAGAGCCTACACTCACGGTTACTATGGAAACAAGTAAACTATCCACGGGGAAGTAGGAGAAAGAAGTGTGTGGGCACCAAGGCCGAGCGCGCACCTACAAAGTGAGTTTGGAGCTGGATTTCTTTCTGCGAGCTGAGGAGCTGCGGGTGAGTGAAACACCGCAGGACGGTGTTAGTGTTGGCTGGATTTTAAAAACATGGAACTATTAGGCACTCCTGCTTCATGTACACACATGAACACAATGTGAGGAAAAGCAACACATACCTGAGTAGCAGTTACTGTTTTTGTATCCTAGAGCATCGTCTTTGTTGACGCACTCTGTGATGGCACTTGCAGCAAGATCTTTTGCAAGCTGTTCGAAGACGCAGACCAAACGGAGCACCTGGACTCCTCTGAACAACCCGCGGGCCAACAGCAAGGTCACATCAGCTCACACTGAAACTGTGCCGTCAGCCAAAGGGTGGCTGTTAATAGTTTCAGTAACTTTTATAAGATGTACAGCAGTGTCGTAGAAAGTACAACTAACTACATCTTTTGATGGACGTGACAAAATGTAAATGTCTGTGTTAAAGCTGGTGAAGTAGAAAAGGGGGACACAAAAGTACAGACCTGAGTACATAAAACAGCTCTAACAGTGGAGTCAAGCGACTCTCAGCTTCTTTTTAAATGTTCCCTTCGCTGCAGTAAGATTTATGTCTGTTTCAGCCTGTGCTTGCAGGACCAGGTGTTTGCCTGAAGCACTCTTGAAACCCCCCAAAATTATCCACAATAAAATAATTTGATTACATCTAAATTGAATTTACTTTATTGGCATACATTCAGTTTATATGAAGCTAATTTTTCTTAATGACTAATTATTTAAATAAATAAGCCTTAGATTTTAATTTTTCTTTAAATTATTGCTTCCTGTTTATGCCGGCAATTTGATTTAATTTTTTTTAACATATAATGTGTTTAGTAAACACAGTCACAAAGCAGGAAATCATAATAATGTCCGTGGATGATCTAGACAGGCAATAATATCTAAATTAATTTGCAAATATTTGTTTTTTTACTTTATAGTTATTTTAAAGAAATTCCTTTTAATGAAATGCATTCATTAATTTATTTGCATCTGTGTACTGGTTGCATTGGTCACTTCATTGGTCCTGGTCCTGCTTCATTATGTAAACAAAGGCGCTGTCATTAAAAGTGTTTTGTGAGCTGAGCTTCTGATTATTTGTGGATCAGCAGCAGGCTGTGACTGCCCTCACTGTCAGAACAACACCGGGCTGGCTTTGCTTTAGTGTGGAAGCTTGAACGACATTGGCTCATTTCCTTGTTTTCTGTTTGACGGTGTTGGTCTTCCATAAATACCAAGTTCCTCGAAAGATTAAACAACTAAAAACTTTAAAACTGAATACTTTGGATACTATAGTTGTTAACCTTTGTCACTGTTGTCTCATTGTAGGTGTTTGAAGAGAGACGAAGCCTTCTAGCAAAGTGGGTATGTGTGAGCAGATGAATGAAGAAGCACCTAATGCGCCCTTACAGTGATCCCAGCGTGAGCTGAAGCCCACACAAATCCAGCTAGCAGTTAGAAACCATGCTGTGCTCACTGCTTTTCTGCTGTATTCTTTCATGTCTTTACCAGTTTGACAGGTGGTCTGACAGTCAGAGGAAGGCGGTGCTGCAGGACTTGGTGTTGAGCTGTTCAGTGGAGCAGCTCAGGTTCCTGAGCCTCAGTGTGAGCAGACAGCTCCCCCTGCAGGCCGCAGACTTCACCTGCCTGCTCCCCAGAGCCCTCTCCCTGTATCTCTTCTCCTTCCTGGACCCACGCAGCCTCTGTCGATGTGCCCAGGTACACGTGGATTCATTTATGGGGAGTGACGTAAAGTTTTGACCCTTGTTCTTGTGAAGAAGTCTGGTAAATGAATGATTCGATCCTCCATGCGCAGGTGAGCTGGCAGTGGAAGAGCATTGTGGAGCTGGACCAGCTGTGGATGCCCAAGTGTCTGAGGCTCGGCTGGCTCCTCAGCTCCTCCCCGACACCATTCGAACAGGGCGTCTGGAAGAGACACTACATCCAGACAGTCCAGGAGCTGCGGCTGAGCGTCCTGCAGGTTAGGAGATCCCGAAGAGATTTAAACAATTATCCTACCTTTGTTTAACAACTCGATAACACAAAATAACATTAAAATCTAGCTTTCAAAAATCAAAACAAAATAAAAGACCCTTTTTTCCCAGGGTGCTTCATCGCAGCAGCAGTTTGTGGTTTCAGATGTCGCAGCAGCAAGCCGTGGTCACAAAGAGCCGTCAGAAATAGCTGCCATCAGGTTGGAGGAGTGTCCAGCATCCACCGGGCAGCAACCTGGAAGCAGCTCCAGCACAAGACTGAGACAGGAGAAGCAGCCAGGTGCACCCCCACCATGGAGAGACTCTGACAGACGTCCCAAAGACACACTGCGCTTCAACTACCTGGACAATCTGGACCCCATCGAACAGGCGCTGAGAGCGTAAGACGGCAGGGAACATTTGCTGAATCACGTCTGGCATTAATGAGGCTTTAAGGTTCTTTATAGTGACGGCCCCACAGTGGCTGTAGCTCAGGTGGTAGAGTGGGTCACCTACTAATTGGAAGGTTGGTGGTTTGAGCCCCGTCTGCTCCAGTCTGCCAAATATCCTTGGGCACGACACTAACCCTAAGATGCTCTGTAGTGCATCCGTTGGCGTATGAATGTGTTTAAATTGCAGAGAGAAATAGAATAGTGGGGAAAAAGTGCTTTGATTGCTCAGAGTAGAAAAGTGCTATAAGAACAGGTGCATTTGGCATTAAAATATTATAAATCCCAAACAGTGTCCTGTTAGCATGCACCAGGCGTCTGTGGAGAGAAAAAGTTCCCATTCAACAGGAAGAGACCTACAGCAGAACCAAGCCATCTGCCAAAATGGATATAAATGATGGACATTAACAACACATAGAGCTCTGACAGCTCAATGAATGCCTCGGTGTTTTTTAACCAGACATAATATGTGAAAGAAACTTATCAGTCATAGAGTAGACATCCTCTAAAGCACAAACTGCTTTGTCCTTGTTTATGGTTCAAATGGGGACCAATATTTATTATATCAACATTATATCCACAAAGGAACTAGAAACGTTTGAGCTGGGTTATGTCATATTTGGGGGCTCGTCCGGGAAATTTTAGACTTGCTTGTGGAGAGAGGGTAGCATCAGAGGTTTTTCTTCACACCGTGCTTTCATCACAGTGTTTTTCAGGTCTGGGAGAACCCAAAGACCAGGATATTGCAGGAGGGCATTTTAATTTATTTAGAGCTCATGGAGGAACCCTTTGCAACTCACCTTAGAGTGGCAGTGCAAGAGTCAGCAGGTGTTGCCTGGACTTAATAGTTGATTAATTAATTTGCATTTCAGTAATTTTTCATGATTCTCAGTTTTTGACTTTCATCTTATTGGCTGCCCCATCAGAAGGTTTGAACAGGTGGTGGGTGGGGCGATTTCTGCCTCACAACTGTCTGAGGGCTGAGCGGTTTCACCACAGCGTTCACTTGCAGATAAACTGATGTCATTATCATGCATGATCGTTCCCCTTTACTGACTCTGCTGTCTTTCTCCAGGCAGATGAGAAACAACAGCGCCTCCACCTGCTGCACTAACACATCAAAGGCGGATGATGGGAAAAAGAAAACACTCTCTGAAGCAAATTATAAACTACGCAAAGCCAAATCGCTGGTAAACCACTCCCCATTCATCATCAGTGCCATATGGCTGTGACCTCCTTGTCTTAATCACAGGGAGATAATAAACGGAGACAAATCTCTGGAGACTGCATCCAGCAGGCATCATGCATTATGGAACAGCGTTTGCACAGCGGGAGGCAAATTATGCTGATGATGGTGTTTGAGGGAAGGGTGGAGGAGAGGGTGAAATAGAGGACACTGCTGCATCTAATATTCAGGCCTTGGTGGAATTACTGTATATTTATTTAAGATCTGGGTTTGTACTATACAGCATACCACACTTAGACTGTGTTACTATGAGGTCACATCTCTTCTTTCAGATGTTCCTCAGCTCCAGCAGCAGACCCCACAGTCTTCCTCATGATCAGACACAAACTCACCCCACATGGACATCGCACAGTATCGCTGATCACCCCGTCACTGGGGAGTCTGCTGAGCGCCTTCTCCACTTATCCCAGTGGAACGCCGGGATCCGTCCGAAGCCGGCGAGGACGCCGGTGCCTCGGCTGAGTGTGGAAGGGCTCAGGGCGTTCCAGCGTTCACACAGGAGCGTTCCCAGTAAGTTTTCACAGTTCCTGCTGTTCCTCTGGGCTGAGTATGATGTAACTCCACATCAACAAGAAACCCCCTCAGGACAAACTGTAGGTTCAAAAGCTTCTGCAGGAAAGTGACTGCGTGCAGTTTCGCTCCCAAATGCTGAGAGGAGATTAATCATTTACTCTGTACTGCAAAATATTAATATACTCTTTGTGCGCTTGTATAAAAAGTTATTTAGGTCTCATACAGGGCATGTTTTGCTTTAGCCTAACAATTGTGGAATATAACGTAACATAAGAGGTCTGCTTCGTAGCAGAAGAAACACTGAGTGGATAAAATGTAGCTTAAGAATGGAAAATGCTCAGAACTGATTCTTCAGTTTATGAAGGCGAACAAACGAATCTTGTTTTTTTTAAAAAGCAAATAATTAAGCAGATGTTTCTTAAACTCCAGAATCAAGGGAGGGGTGGATTTATAAAATCCTAAAGAATCTATATTGTGTGTAGCTCTGATCTGTGGTGTACTGGTGTGATATAATTTGATTGATTTAAGCCTGTCCACAGTGTACAATCAGCACTGAAAGATGACACCAACAAAAGCTGCAAAGAGTCTGAGAAGCAGAGGAGGAACAGTGTGTGTGAGAAGTGGTGCAGGTGTTACCAGTCTTAAAAACTGTATTCGCTGACTGTAGGTGCACCCCTGTTTGAGGTCCAGCCCTGGACCGCGTCTGCATCACATTCGCAAGAGAAGAAGTAGATCGCCCCCTCCTGGAGGAAAACAGAAGTACAGTCTGCAACCTCAAGACCTGGAGCTTCAATCTTTCTGCACATGCAGTGTGTAACCCTGACTAGATGTAGACAGATGGATCATTAGGAAAAATATTTGACATTTAATTCTACAAGAGAAAAGACAAAGAGACAATGTCACCCATTTGTAGACAGTAATTCTAACGTATTTCTGTATTAGTACTGTGTTATCAGACGGGATGGGCAAATTAACTTAGAACCCCCCCAACCCTGTAAGAGTCTACAAAAAAAAAAATTGAGCCTATCCGCACTTGATTAATTACAACAATTAATAATTTCCTGATGATTTTATGACTCCAGCAGGTCTTCGGGTGCTGATAATAATGGACACCAATATATTTAAAGTCTACTTTTTGCTAGCCCAGATCAGCACATTACAAATGCACCATGCTAATGAGACGAGCTACTTAATGGTAAAGTGACCTCATTAGCTCGCACGTTTGTCCAAATATTTACCCAAATTTAAAAACAACAAGACTTTAAAATCTGAAAAACTTAAAGCATCAAAACAGCTGCATTTTATATACAGACGTTTTAATACTTCTAACATGAACACTTCAGTTTAAAATTGCTGAGTTATAATCAGCTGTAACACAAGAACGCCAAAACAAATGGTGTGTGTAAGAAATGTACCACCTTTATTATCCAGTCCACACGTCCCAGTCAATATGCAACAACACAGCAAAGCCATTTCTAACACCAGTGAGTCTGAACTCCAGAAATATGTAACAGTAAATGTCAGTTTGAGACAAAGTAACTGATTTTGATCAGTATTCAAAACAACTTGTCAACACACAGCATATGTTGGGCAAAGAGGGAAGCCTCGTGTACATCAATTATGACAGACAATGTCATTTTTTTATTAATAATAATAAAAAAAATCCACTTCAGTCAGATATGAAATATCACTCTCATACGCACAGCCGGCTTCAAACGAGCTTTCACTCGTTGCATATAAACATGGCCTCCAAAATGTATGTATATATATTACTAAATACAAGAGAAAGAAACTTATATGAAAGACTGTGTTAATTTACTGTTAACTAATCAGAGGATGAATGTTAAAGACCAGGAGTGTATTTATGGCTTTTGGATTCAAAATAAAGTAAAACTGTGGATGTTTCACAGGTTACGTCCTAACACGTGTCGGCCTGCGGCAGCTTTTAAGGCAAATGTGGCGCTTCGCAATGAGCCACAGACACCACAGGGGTTAATCGTCACTCGTGGATGACACAGTTATTACTGTAATTAGGTCGCGTTGTAAAAAGGCTCAAACAACAGAGCGTACAGCAGTTGAACAAAAACAAAGTAAGAGTTGACTGCTGTGCACGAGGATTCATTGCTTCGTATAATAGACGTGCTGTCCTGATGCACCGGTGATCAGATGACATTACAAATGAACTAAAACTAAAATTAAAGCACAGATTGTCCAACCGACTGTGAGCAGGCTCGAAACAAAACCCCCCAAAATCAGAGAGAACCGTTCTTCTAAAACGACAGCAGAAGAACGAGCTACAGGCCGTGATCAGTGACAACAACCTTACACTCCGATGTTTCATTTGAGTTTCTCAGGCGTGAGTCTTGGAATTGCTCAGAAGACTATGAGTTTACACATGATCAAAAACCATATAAAAACAATCTGGACACATTTCCCCTCCCAGTCCAGGAGAAATGTTACTCAATTCTTTCCTCAAAGAGACTCAAAAACAAAAGTGGAAAACAGAAGAAAACAGAATTTATTCAGAAAATTAAAGACATTTTTGGCTTTTCTTTTAAAGAAAGTTCAACAGCAAAGCCTCGCAGATTAAAAGTCACTCAGAAGACGGAAAACACACAATTATTGTCACGCAAGTCAAACACGACTGAGTAAAACGCGGCGGGTTCGGTGACGTCTTTCACCGACTTCTCATCAGTCGCACCCCTCAGCTTTGACACGCTGGATCTCACTGGACGTGCAAAGTCCGGTTTCATGTTCACAGTGGGTTTAATTCAAAGGCTGCTGGAGTTTGAACACAGAAAAGAGAGAGAACACACCAAGGTGCTCTTAGTGAAACATCGCCCCCTGCTGTAGTCTTCAGCCCTTCACGGCAACACAAACGATTAGAATGATTGTGCGTCTCATTGTGCGCGAGCCGACACACGCGAAGATGAAATATCTTCAGCGTCTGTCTGGATTTGAGGAGAAACAGTTTGATGGCCACAGTTCCAAATAGAAAATTGAAAAAGTACATTTTAAAGGACGTTTTCCTGCTTCCTGGGATCTTTATTTGTGAGCGCTGCTCGCAAAGCTCAGCACATGTGAGGCTGATAGGCAACCATCATTTGTGCTCTGACCGCTCGAGGCAATTATGTGAAGCTTCTTTCTTTTTGCACAGTGTGTACATGATCTGCAGGCTTCAGTAACTTGGAGGGAATCACTATGCAAATACACAAAAGTATTAACATCGACTCTTTAAATAATGTAAACATATACATCTTATCTGAGGTCAGAGCAGTGATCCTCTTCATATCTATTTATATATATATTTATATAAGAGAGAAGGAATATTACTGGAGCATCGTCCGGATGTTCTTCGGAGTGGTCTCGTCATTCAGGTGTTTTGTGGTGAATCTGAGGAGAAAAAGGAGTGGGAGTGGACGTTAGTGCACCAATGAAAACATCGAGGCCGCATAAAGAAGCTCCAAAGGAATTCTTGCTGACAAACACAAAAGCCATTTTCACATGTGCAGTTTGGACAGTTCTGTGAGAATCAGGTCAGGAAACTTCCCACGGTTCAGGAAACTGTGCTCCTCAGACACGTTCACACTGCTGTGGTTTAGACCAGCGGTCCCAACCCCCGGGCCAGCACCGGTCCGTGATTCGTTGGGAATCCGGACGCCAGAGTTGAGGCTCAGGTGTGAAATGTATGGGTTTTTAGTGTTTTTATTGTTGGGTGTTATGAATAAATCTTTTTTTTGGTACTGGTTTATTTTGTTGTATTTATCCGCGACACCTTAAAGTCCGGTCTGTGAAAATATCATCGGACATAAACTGGTCGGGGACGCTGGGTTAGATGATAAGGTAGCTGGAGACGTGTGCAGCCACCTAAACCTGCTCGCTGGCTTCAAATACACCAGACTATCACCTGTACCAACCAACCCAGTGTGACATCACACACCTGCCAGCTCCCTTTTGCAAAGACCAGGCCACGTCCAACCGGATATTTGCTTTCAGCAGGTGGTTTTTTAAGGTAACTGTGGACATGGTTACAGTTCGGCTTTACCTCGGCAGGCACACGTACAACCTCTCATAACTTTCACAGCCAAAATTGGTCCATAGCATGAGTCAGAATCTTACATACAACCAGAATCAAACCCACACAGGAAAACTCGGCATCCAAAGGCGAGCTGTGAACCTACTTGAGTGCATTCAGGAGACCTTCTACGTTGTCTGCTGGCTGGTCCTTCAGGACCTTTATGCAGCCTTTCATCTGAAGACAAATCAATGATGTCAGCAATGACTTACAATACTGTGTGTGTGTGTGTGTGTGTGTGTGTCTTACATCTATCTTGGAGGACTTGTTGAAGGCGCCGTTGGGGTGGACGTGGTCATACAGAATGATGACTCCAACCATGACCCTCATGCAAAACAAGAGCGTGTCCTCACTGCTGAAACGACTTGAATACTCTCTGCACGCACACAAGAGGAGGATCAGGAAAGTTTAATGATTTACGTGTGTGTGTGTGTGTGTGTGTGTGTGTGTGTGTGTGTGTGTGTGTGTGTGTGTGTGTGTGTGTGTGTGTGTGTGTGTGTGACTCACGGCGTCTCAAGCATGACTTTACAGACGCTGGCCATGGTGCTGAGACAGTCTGTTGTGTTCTCCAGTGGAAGCGTCTTGTTCTGAACAAAGTCACATGTTTTCATTACAAAGGCTGATGGGTAAAATAATTTTAGACCTGAAGTTAAATTTCAGAAAAACAAGCGCAAAAAGGAACTTTGAACCTCGTTGTCCTGAAATAAAAGAGGAACTTTAGGCATTGACCTGTGGCCATCAATCTGCTGCTCTTCAGCTTAACAACAAAAGAAAATCATTCACAGAAAGATAAAGTAACTAAAGATAAAGTAACTAAAGATAAAGTAACTAAAGATAAAGTAACTAAAGTGCCACATGTAGTGTTTTTTTGTCATTTGAAAGATCAAAGCTGTGGCTCAGTATTCAGAGAAGCTCGTCTACAGCTGAAGGTCTGTGGCTCCATCTGTAGCTGCTGTGGTTTCTCCTCAGGTAAGATCCTGAGAGTCAAGGACCCGTGAAACATCCATCCAGCCTGTGTGTGTGTGTGTGTGTGTGTGTGTGTGTGTGTGTGTGTGTGTTAGCTGAGAGTGAAAAAGCTCGATACGAATCACTGCCTGTTCATGGTGGACTAAACTAGGAGAGGGCAGAGACAACACTGACCTACACAGTAATCTGATGGCGCGGTCAGATTGGCTAAATGAGTTTAAGAGGCAGCATCGGTCACTCGACAGTAGAGACGTTTGAACCTGTCCACAGACATGTTGTCTGGTTAACTGCTGACTCTAAAGCTTGATTCAGACTTCAGTGGGAACTCTGTGTCCTCCGCGCCATCCGAGTCGCTGCGTCGACCTGATGGAAAGTTTCTCATGCGCCACGTTTAGGATTAAAAATACTTCCGGTTACAATGTGAGTGACAACGATGACAATGACAGTAACGTGTTTCTGTGTTTGGCCTCAGACACAGAAAACTAAAGAGCTGAAACATAATGTTTGAAGGTTGCCCTGCAACCCACTGTGACAGATCCACCCACTGTGGAAAACAATCAGTTGGAAATGACCAAACAAAAAAAAGCTGATATTTGTGTCACATTTATGAGGACAGACTCAACAAATATTGCTTTGATGAAATGCATCATCAAAGCCAGGAGGAACTTGCCGGCTGTGTTAGACTCGTACCTCTGTCACAAAGCTTGTGGTTGCATTGCTGAGTGTTTTCAGCATGGGTGTGGCCTCCGCGTAGAACAGAGACATCCTGTTGGCCATCTCGTTGTTGACTTCATTCTCTATGTCCAGCTGTGGGTGCAGAAATAACCACGAGGCTTCAGGTTTATTCCCACTGCTGAGCAGAAACAAGCGCCCTACTTTGCCAACATCAGGCTGCCAGGTTTAGATGAAAAAACTAATCTGATCAGTTTGTTCTCGTCCTGACTCCTCCCTCTTTTAGACAGAGTACGTCCTCCAGACACAAATCTGACTAAAACAGGAAAAGATTTTTCCCCAGACTCACGTTCATGTTGTTTATCTGGTTTCTGCTGATGGTCCTTCTGTAGTAGCTGAAGTCGTTCTGGATGGCAGGATTCCTCATCTACAAAACAAAGAGACAGTCATCATTTCGCCATCACACACGCACACGTTTGATAAAGCCGTGCAGTACAACACACGAGGTATCGGGATAAGGCTGACTGTGTGCGTCTGAGTTTAGCTCGAGTGTTTCCACAGACCTTGAGCTCATCAAAGCGCAGAGTGAAGTGGAGGATCTCAGCGAACTGTTTGGCCAGCGCCTGCTCCCTCTCCAGGTGCTGAGTGGGCGTGAGGGGCGGACACGTCAGGGACTCCAACAAACTCTGCAGAGCCTTCTCTGTACACACAAACACACACAATCTTAAATGTGATGAGAAATTTGACTTTAACGTAACCTGTTCAGTAACAGAAAGGAGGCGTTTGTTCAGCACCTAGTTTGAGGGAGAAGCTGTAAAACCTCTTGAGTTTGATGACCAGCGGGCAGACGGAGTTCCACGCCTTCTCCTGCAGGCTGTGATCACTGGGGTTTTGGATCGCCTGGAACCAAAGAAACACTCGTCAACCGTCACACACATCCCAACAGCACGGGGCGACGCACACAGATCTAAAATGGTAAACAGGGCTTTCTGTATGATAACAGAAGCATTCGCAGCAGTTTGAGCCGTGTGGTGGCAGGCGTCTCTCCACTTGCTGTCGCTGTAAAGATGAAACAGTTACACTTAAGTAAAAGTCCATTATTATTACAGCTTTATATATTTTTCCATGTATGCAGTTCTTCTGTACCACAGACTATCGAAGTCAAAGTGAACAACAGCAAAGCTGCCCCCTCCAGGCGACTGATTACAGTCAGAATTTGCATGAAGGACTTGACTTGCAGCTCATTCTGTGCAGCTGATTGAATTCACAGTCAGCTGTCTAGTAACGAGCTTCTGCAAACGTTGTGGGTCGGCTGTGAGCTCGGTTACTGAAGGAGAGCAGGAAAAGGCCATAACTTTGATGTCAGTGATCACTGGGACTGTGCATCCATACTGCATGCACAGCACACTACTGTGACTAAAGTCTGCTTCAAGTGTAATGTGATTACAATAAGCCAAGAACAGTGAGGAGTAGAAATGCTCCCACAACACAGCTGAAGCTGTCGCGAACTTGCATCAGTCCGACATCGTAACTCGCTCACACGGTTTGGGAGTTAGTGACGGGACAGCTGCCATGTTTGGCATTACGGAACGAATCCAGAGATTTCCACTCAGGATTCTTCGCCATGCCGTGTCTCTGCGCTTCTCCTTACATCTCTGATCTCCTGGCCAGCCCCTTTGTACGACTGCAGGCCACCCAGGATGCTCTCAGACTCCTGGAGGACTGAATTCACCTGGTTCCACACCTCACGCTCTCCGTCTGTCGGCTGTGCATCTAAACACAAACATATATCAGAACACAAGCCAACAAATGACACTCTTGTATAATTACAGACAAACTTCAGTGGATTTTTTCCATATTGATGTGAAACCGTGTTAGTTAATGAAAGCTAGCACCGAGTGCAGGAAACGAGCATGCTCGCTGAACGCGTTCGCTGCTAGAACGGAACTCGCCGTTCGTTTGAAATGGGAAACCCGACAAAACAAAAACGTTCAGCAGCACGACTCGAGTGAGGGACATCACTTCAGACAATACAACTGAGCTCTTTTACAGTCAAACCAAAAACTGCCTTTAATGGTTTTAACTGCAAAAAGCCAAATCACTGCAGTGAAAAGCACTAAACTGGCTCCATCGTCTTCCAGCACCTCGGACCGAATGCACGCGGCAGCCTCGAGCTTCAAACGAGGCCACATTTACGCCAATAACACACAAACGTATCTGAATATGGCAGCTCACATTAAGGCAGATATTTTGAATATTTGACTGTAAAAGATGAGAGATGGGCAGAGTGTGTGTGGGGGTCAAAGGTCAGTGTGCCTGCACAGGGTCATCCAAAGCGTGCCGTAGCTTGTACGTGCTCGAGCGACAGCCGTGACTGACTGAAACAAATATCAGGTCTAAGGTACGTACGAGCTCACCGGCTCTTAGTCTCCTGCTGCATGCATATTTATGACACCATGACCCCTGCTTCTTCATCTCAGCTCTGGCAGCTCAGTTGTAAAAACGTGTGAGGTAATGCAAACTCTCCAAGCCTAGCCAGACCCATCTAAGACTCAGAATAGAGAGCTGGTTATCATGACCACAGAGAGTCTAAATATAGAGCAGCGCTGACATTAAAACTGTCTGCGCTGCTTTGCATTTCAAAAACCTTCCACTCCTATCATTTCCTCTCTGCTGAATAAACAAAGCCTGGGGTTGGCTACAGCGTGCGAGCTGCTGAAATGCCACTGTGGAGGCGTAGTGTGTGTGTGTGTGTGTAAACATTATGTTTACATTATGTCACATTTGGGTGCATGAAATGTATCACAAACACAAAGAGGTGCATGCGGACGAGTTAGTAAAAGCAGATGGCAAAGGTCAAGGGTCAGATCCATTCCTCTTCTGCTTGGCACACAAAGAAAAGAGTTCCTATTCTAAAGCAGGGCTGAAATTAATCATGAATTTTAATAACATTAGAAATTCAATGGAGGAAGGTTCACAGCGGCTGAACAGTCTGACCCCTGACCAGCCGGAGCGGCTACAGAGAGGCTAAAGGGACGACTGGTTGAGGGGAAAGGAGAGCGTGGGAGCAAGAGGACAGGCAGAAGCTGCGCTCACTTTCAAAATCAAGGAAAAAGTTTGGCCCCTGTTCAAACTCTGTGCACGTGAGCACTTTTAATAGATTCCCCATTTGGTTTCTGCAAGAGAGAGAAAGGAGAAAGAAAGGAGGAAGAGCATGTGTGATGTTAAAGAGCCACCGAAAAAAGGGAGAAAAGAAAGTTGTTTGATTAGCGACGGGCGATCAGAGGCGATGCTGCGGGAGGTCGCGACCGAGCCAAGAGGGGGGCGAGGAAAAAAGAGGAGAGAATAAGAGGACGCCTTCACAGTTTGGTCATTGAGAGCAGAGGCTGACGGAGAGAGAAGAAAGAGCAGAGCAGGCTACACCTCCTTCTCCATCCAGCTTTTGTCCCACTGCCCCGCCACACTTACTTTCAAAGTCCAGGAAAAAGTGTGGATAGTTCTCTATTTCCCTTGTTAGGACTTTTAGCAGGTTACCCATTCCAGCAAACCTGATGGTTAAAAAGAGTCGTCACCATAACAGATAGCAGTACATACAGTTTCCCAAAAACACGTTCAGTGTGGCTGATTTCAGACCAGGAGCTGGATATTAAATGATGCTGCCTTACAGCAGCGCCCTGAAGACCAACCAGGCCTTTTAATTAACTACCTGCAGTGAAAACTTTCTAAACAGACAAAACGATCAATCAAAAGTTTACAAAATAAAATCAAATATTTGCTCTTAGTCAAGTTCTTTTTGTTTTTAATGCCCTTTCTCTTCTTCTTCCTGATTGGCTGCCCCTCGCAAACAAAAGATTCAAATACAAGGTGGGTGGAGTCAGCTAAGCTTAAAGTCTGCGCTCTTGGCTCACGTATACGCCGACTTCATTGCTTGAAGGTTTGGCTATGTTTACTGTACCATGCGCAGGGTGGGAAAAACTTATTGTCCTTTTATTTTCTAAATTGAATCCTTGCTGCCGACCTTTCCGTCCATCATCCCTTTGACAGAAATGAAACCAACCACGCACCAAGCTTTGATAGCTGATCTGAAAATGCAGACCTTTCTTTTGGATTCAGGCGTCTCTGAAATCAGCCAAATGCAGAGTCCTAAATTACAGTTACACTCTATAAAGCTTTTATTGGAGGCAAAGGGCAGCAATTTCCTGGGAAAAGTCTCCCTCCCCCAGCTATGACGGGTGGTCACAAACTCTGTAATCACAGTGGGCCTAAACCTACAGCAGCATAACGTCAGGAACGCACAGAGATGCAGATAGGAACAGTGTAACCCTGTTTATTTTTAAAAAACTGAATTAGCTGCTGCAAAAATGATTTTAAAGTCTGTGTTAGTATATTTGGCACACTTGCATTTTTACACAGTAAAGATAAACACGAGTCTTCTTTTCTCACACATTAACAGCCAACTTCCCTCGACTTAAGCCAGAGAGTGAAGTGGCAACAATAGAGACTCTGTGCAGCAGCGTGCACATGATAGTCACACTGCATTTCTCTGCACAGCCTCCAGCAAGCTGTCCGCTATTTTTCAACCGTGGTATTCGCTGCACATCCTGCGCTCGTCATAAATTCAGATATAACTGTGTGCATAATAACAGGCTGCATACTGTTCCTACAGCCTTTGATTGGGAGGAAATTATATACCTTAAAAACGCATCAGATTATTAAATTCATGCAGAGCAGTCAGACTCGGGGTTGCACCAGCAGGGGGCAGTGTTGACGTATGCCTACATTCACTAACTACTGTGACGTGTCATGCTGGTACATGTGCTGCTGTGCAAGCCTTATTTGTTCAGGGCAGACTCTAACCTGTGGCTACGAGTCCGCAGCTGCTTCATCTGCAGCAAGACTCCACCTCCCCACCCCTCAGGTACCATTAAAACTGACAGCTGACTTTAAGACTGCGAAGAGTACTTTTCCCCTCTGAGATAAAACGGTCCAGTCAAGTACATTTGTGGTTGTTTTCATTTTGTGTGCACTGGGAATAAAAGATGATCAAACATTTAAGAAACAACCACGTGGTCTAAAGTCGTCATGCATCACTGTGATCGGTACCTCTCTGAAGTCTTTGCACTACGAGTCGCTTCAGTTCCTTGGCTCAAAGCTGAGCCTACCGCACATGTTTGGGGATTTGACCTGTTGCTGCATCTCCCTGACATTCTGCAGCACCTGGCTGCCACACTGTTACACGCTCTCGTGCACTGTTACACGCTCTCGTGCACTGTTACACGCTCTCCTTCCTAAACTACACCAGCTCACTTTTAACGGCCTACAGAGAGCGATTCATGCATGTGCATGTGCACCTACTCACACAGCCAGTCAATCACTTTATCTACAGTACAGCTATAATAAAGGTGACCTCATTTAAAGTTTTATTCTATTGTATTAAAAGTTGAATACAACATCTGGCACATGTATAGTTTTTTTAAACTGTACAAAAACAGGAGAATTATTGGACTTTGTGTTCAATTAAGTAAATATGAGATGATAAAAAACCAGCACACACTGTAGGCGTGAAACCAGTCAAATATCGCTCTCATGATGTCACTGATCTTCTCTGACGATCTGAACGAAACCCAATCAGCGTCCTTTAATGACGCATCTAAATGGGATGTGACCGCGTCACCATTTTATGTTTATGGACTGAATTACACCAGCGAGTGGCAGGTTGCACAACAAAGAGCACGTCTGGGTAATGTTTACTGTCAGATCATTAGGTACAGTTATGGCAGAGGTTGTGTCTCTTAGTTCGAGCTTCTTGGTAACACCTGGTACTACAGGTAGGCCAGTAATACACCAACAGTAGTGTCTGTGCGAGCGTCTTGTTTCACTCGAGACACAAGTGGGAAGAGGGGGCTCACAGGTCGAATGTTTACAGCGTGTTTACAGAAATCGTGTTTGGGCCTGTGACGATGCTAGCATTAGCTTCCTAGCTCCCTCCTAGCTAGCTCCCGTTGCCCACAGATGGTGTAAAAGGGTGAGCCGCAGACTGCAGGTCAGAAAATGAAGCCAGTGTGGAGGAAGCTTAAACATGAACTCCATCTGAAGGCTGCTGTCGAGAGCTGAGGTTGAGATGATGGACGTTTATGGTTTTCTGTGTTGACCTTTAAACACCTTTCCAAGAATTGATGGGCTCGGTCACACGTTGTGGGTCACATTAAATAAACAAACAAGTCTATTTTGTAAATATTAATCATACTACGTTTTAAAATGAATGATCATCGGTGGCACGAGAGCACACACCCAACAGCTAAGGACTTGTGGTTGACAAGTAGTCCACCAGCCGGTGAGTACGTGGTTTCACACCCATCTTTACTCATCACATCCTTTTTTTTTTTTGCACAACCAAGATGGCGGCGATGGTGGAAACGCTCAGACGCGCGATCGACACCCTGACAAGATGCAGGATCTAAAACTCCACCAGCCATCCTTTAAATACAGTCTATGAGAGGTGTGAGGTATTAACGTGCACATCAGCACGCTTCTTATTACAGTATGCGCTTCAGGTAACATTACATTCATTTGGTGTTTTGAGCTACTGGAATCAAACTTTGATATAACCGCGACTCCTTTATGTTCCACTTGTTTTAATAAAGGCGGTTTTGTTGTGTTCTTCCTCTTTCAGTGGCAGTTATCGAGTATCTGTGGAAACTCGTGTGAAGAGACGACTCAGTGAAGAATACGCTGCGAGTGGAACTAGAAATCATGAAGTGAGTTCGAGATTAAAGCGGTTTCCCTAAAAGAGAGAAGAAATTAAAAATGCAATTTGTTGAACATAATCTGCATGTCTAAATGGTGAAGCCTGTTGTTCTGTGAGTAGATCTTTGGTGTTAACACATGAGCTACCTTTGTGCTACACGTGCTGCTCTCAGAGACCAAAACTCTGCTGCTTTAATCTCAATTTAAGCATTGCTGCTGCAGTCTGTGCTGCCATCTCAAGGCTATTTAAGCTTTGTAATTAAAGCTAATTCTATGCACTTAAAGCACCAAAATGAGTTCTCTGGTTAAACGACCTCCTCTGCCGTCTGGGGAGTCCCAACCAACACGTGCTCAGAAAGAAAATCCTGATTGGAGCAAACTGGCAACACAAATTATTTGTAGAGTTGGAGCTTTATTCTTTCAAATAAAAAAATGACAGATAAAATAAAAATACTGACAGATATTTCATGGCAGTCTCAAAAACGTACTTTAAACCTACCATGAGCTCACTGGTGATTTTTTCCTTTTTAGATGAATAAATAAATTCAGGCAACAAGTTCGACCCTCAAAAACACAAAAATAAAAAAAGGGAAGTTCCCACTGACAGATGCTACACTCAATTATGAAATTACACAGAGGTGTTTAAAGGAGGCACTGACCCTTTTCAATTTTTCTCTTCTAACTTTGTTCATTGCAAAGTTGCACAGATACCTTTGGAAAACCTGAACGTCCTCCTCAGATCCTGTAACTACCAAACGAAGGTTTGGCTGTAAAGCCCAGAGAACGAGGAGCTTTCTGAGGCTTAACACAACAACCGCGGGCTGATCCCAGCTACCTAAGATCATCTAAACCACAGTGTTGCCGCTGGCTGACGTGTCTTAGCGGCAGCTTGGAGTGCCGACTGTACGAACATGAAGCATGCTGTGGTCATGAGTGATGTACCTTCTCTGGTGGAGGACGTCAGGCTGCGGTTTATATCATCCGCTTTCTTTGTGTCTCTGTAACAACAAGAAAGGGAAAAAAGGACTTAGAGAAAATGACACGACTAATACCAGCGAGGGAAACGCACAGTTCCTCATTAAAAATGCACGTGCAGGTGTGTGTCACTGCGTGCACGTCGCACACCTGCCGACTGAACGGGCAGAGGATCAGCTTTCCACATCAACCAACAAAATAACTCTTTTCTGCTGATGCACACGAGCCTTCAGACAAATACAATCCTCCAGCATCACAAAACACACCTCTGAATTATTCAACACTGAAATCGACACCGCGTCTGTCATATCCAAAGAAAAGCAGCCGATTAGCCCGTCTGCAGGTTACTGAGGTACTGAACATCCTGTGCCGTGCTGCGGCTGCACAATGCTGTAATTCTCTTTAAGGTGGGAGCAGAAAATAAACAGATGGTGCTGTCAACTAGCACAGCGTCCAACCAAAAGAAAAGACCAGGATCACCTGGAGCTCAGCGTTCATCTGTGAGAGCTGAGAGCGAATTGTTCCACATTTGAACCTAATATTTGTCACGGCTGTTTCTAAATGTGTACCTCTCATAGTTACACCGCAACAAAGTACTTTTAAATTATGGCGAGGCCTGACTGGAGAGAATTATGCAGCAGCAGTAAAGCTGCGCTGTGGACGGTTACTACATCTTACTACATTTCCTGTTGTGCTTGAAATGTTTGTTTTACGGCCCCACGTGGCTCATCCTGGTCTGACCGGCTGCTTGTGGACTGCTAATCTAGGCAGGAGCAAATATTCATGTGTAAATAATACCCCAGTGTTTGTGTGCAAAGAACTAGAACCTTATTTTTACCTTAATTTAATAATTGCTTAAAAGGGATCAGTTAGGCTTTTTTTTTATTCTTGAAGTTCATTGGAGCAGCTGTGCAGCTCGAGTCAGTTTAATATCATCCCACGACTGTTCGACGTTTTTCTGATGTGGTTTCACTGCGTTCATCACGCGATGACCTCCAGCTCCAGCTAGCACTCTGCAGGCGAGGGCGAAGTCGCTGGGACGAGAACTGGAACCTCAGAGCATTCAGGGCCATTATTATTGGACGATCATAAGAATTAGTCACTGTACAAATGACACAGTGGGCATCATAAGTTACAGCCTTCACGTGCACACACGCACTAATAAGCTCATGCACGTTTATATGGCAGCGAGGTAATGAACATATAATACATGCATCATGCAAATACTTCCACAGACACCCAAATGTTGGGCTTCTCAAACACTTTTTGTTCAACATAACACTTTTTTGCAGACAATTCATCTATTGCAGAGGTTTGTTGATACAAACGCCACGTTTGTTCTTAGCATCTGATTTTCTGATGATCCGCTAACCCATTAACTTACATAATGTAGACATGTTACCAACTGTCACTGAAACCTTCGCCTGCACTGACTCTGCTTCATCCTCTGTGGAACCTGCACAGCAACAGTGCTGAGAGAAGGGATGCTGCAGATGATTGGGTGGGTGGATGGATGGATGGGTGGGTGCCTCCAGAGACACGAGATGCTCTCCTCGTAAGGGCAGAAAGTGCAACTGTTCCCTGCGGTTGGACACGTGAATGGTCTTTAGATATAATATCACACCCACTTTATACATCAAACTTCCTTCTTTTTCTGCACTTCAGCTTCTTTGAAGTCCTCCTTCCTCTTTGCCCAATGTGTCCGTTTCATTCCCTTTTCCTTCTCTGCTTCTGCTTTCAGTCAAACAGGCAGGATTTCCCCATTTGTGCCCAACTTATCTACACAATGAAATCAAGCACGTTTGCAAAAGTCAGCCAGTACGCACTGCACTAGAATGAAAATAAACGAATTAATAAAATATGCAGCATCAACACTTCACACTTATGCCATTCATACCAGTGTGCAAACCAACAATCTTAAACTACCAGCACATTTATCACAGCACTCAGAGCTGAGCGCCCGTTTATTAGTAAGTCAATAAATCTGTCAATCATCCCGGCAGGTGGTGCAGTCAAACAGTGTGCAGGGAGATGCATGCAGACTTTTCAAAAATAAACATGTTTTTCAGGAAACATCAATCAAGAGCTAGAATGGAATTTTCCAGTGACCTCAGAGGAATAACATGCACAGTAACACACGGGCCGCTGCTGTCCCAAGGTAAGTTACCGAAGGGGGAAAACCAAAACATCTGAGCGCAGTAATGTTGATTTTATCCAACAGATCTGCTGTTAAGAGCACGAAGGTATGAGTGAGGAATGAGATAAGTGAGACAAACTGGTGGAGGAAGCAGGAAGAGAAAAAGGAGAGACTGGCGCAAAGAAACCAAAGCTGTGAGACACAAGCCAAGCAGCCTGCTTATTGCTGCACTAGAAAAGACAATTAATTAGTTGGATATGAATCGCATTTAAAAAAATCGATACTGATGGTCAACGCATCGATGCTTTATGAGGCATCGTTGTGTTTGCTGAGACTCTGGATGTTTAAGCCTGAGAGCAAAATGCTTCCAGAAAGTTCTGTTTGTATTGTAAAACCTCTGCTGAGGGACCTGCGTCGCGCCCCTCATACAATAACACTTAGTTTCAGTTCAGTCTTAGTGTTTCTAACAAAAGAAGCTAAAACCAAAAAACCACAAAGAAATTTAAGAAACTGAGGATCACATACAGGGAACATCCTTCCACATGGTTATGAGAGTGATGCAGAAAATGACAGCGCCATTAGTGCTAATGGTTTTACGTGATCTAACATTAAGGTGCATTTTAAATTTAGGCTGCACGCTGGTGTCCAGCTGGACTTGTTTGGTGTGTTGATTCCCAGGACTCATCATCAGCTGTCACTTCAAGTCAGAACACAGCAAACATCAAAATGATGATTCTAACAAAGTAGCAGCAAAGTCATGAACACGCAGTCGGATTAGTCATCCACACAAACTCCAGTGACTGTAACTTACTGATCATAAAGTCTGCCCATGCTGATCATGTGGCAGCCGTCATCGTTAAGGGAGGTTCGATAAGAACGTGGATTACGCTCATTTCTAACAAACGAGAGGCGAGTGCCACAACACGTCACCTTCCCAGAGTTTATCATCTTATACAGAGGCTCAGTGAGGGTCTTCAGTACGCCTACTGTATAATAACTGAAATAAGGGGTTTTACCTCCATTCCTTCGTCCCCACAAACAAGACAGCAGGTGGGTGGGGTCTGTGCACCTGAGATGACCCTATAAGACAGGGGCGGGGAACTCCAGGCGTCAGAGGCCCGTGACCTGCAGGTTTTAGATCTCACCCTGGGTCAGCACACCTGAATCAAATGATTAGGTCATTATCAGGTCTCTGGAGAACTTCAAGACATGTTGAGGAGCTCATTTAGCCGTTTAAATCAGCTGACACATCTAAAACCTGCGGGACACCGGGACCCTCGAGGCCTGGAGTTGGACACCCCTGCTACAAGAGAGCCCCCCCCCCTTCTGACATCACACAGCGCAAAGATTAGCAAAAAAGTGCCGTTGTTTTACATCCACAAAGGGGTGGGTGGTAGTACTCATCTCTGTCAAATATTAATAAGCAAACAAACAAAACAACAACAACAACAAGCAATTATTGAATGACGTGCTTCATCTCTCGAGTGCAGATGTTTTTCCCCTCAGCTTACACGACACTGTCGAAAGAATTGAAGAAATCTGACGTGTCTGAAGAGCAATCGGGGAGTAGAAACGAGCAAAGTCACCCTCCTGCTCTTATGTGAGCTTCATGTACAGACAAGTGCTGGCACCCTCCCTGCATGGACTGGAAAAAACAAACATAAACATGTTAACAGTCTCTTTGTGTGGACAACCACACGTGTGCCTGCATGGGCTCGTCTCACAACCATCCGTTTCCATGGTGACAGCAGAGAAGTGCGTTAAAATAAGAACGACGGACAGACAGACATGTGGACACGCTTTGTTCTATAAAGGCTACCGGTCAGAAAAAGCGAAGGTGTGTGATGACAGCAGCTGTCACTAATGATGCGAATCTCTGCCAAGAAGGCTGCTTAAAACGGGAGAGCGGCAGTCTGCAGACACATGACGAGAGGAGGGATCACCGGAGAGGGAAGGGTGGATGTAAACAAAAACATGTGAAGAAACAGATTATCATTATCATGACGGCGCCTCAGCGTCGCTGAAGTGGAGCAAACAAAGATTCCTCTTAAAGAGCACAGATCCGTCTGTCTGTGTAACCCTCATAAAACAAGTGCATGCTGGGAAAAAGCAGAGCTACAGACGTCTTTGCTGTTTTCACGTATACAGCATAGAAAGGAATACTGAGAGGCTCCGTCAACGTTTACACAGGAAAACAAAAGACTGCATATCCCACAGTTCACTGGGTTAAACTGACCATAACAGCAGATAAGTCCTTATCAGCTGTGTTTTCACAGTGTGGCCAGCAGTAGATAACCGCTGACCACCCAATAAATCTGCAAACACATAATCTAATGCAAATTTGTCTAACAGCAGTTTCCAAACAAGTGTAAAAAGCTGAAGCCTGTGTAAACACGTCATATCTTGGACTTTATTTATTCAAATTTTAGCGTCTACCTTTGTAAGATAAAAGTCATCTGTTAAAGACATTTTATGCTATTATTCAAATGGAAATGATGTTTCGCTTCCTCCACAGCTGTGATTTACAGCAGGCACCAGGACCTGTTGTTTAGTCATAAGTATACGGACATGTTAAAAGACTCACAAACCCAATCGCAGGAAGCTGCACTGACACCACAACTGACTCTCCAAGTAAGTCTTTTCTGAGTAACACAGAAAATGTCAGATACGAGTACAAATAGAACATTTGCTTTTCTTTTTTTACCTCTGAAGTGTAGAGATGGAAACGATCAGGATGTCCCGTCTCCTTTGTGCCCAAATCATGCAGCAGAGGCGATGACCCACTTTGGATCAAAACCTTTTGTCTCCTCGCTGCGACGTTGACATTTTCAACAATCAGCACATTTACACGTAGTACTGTCATCACTGAGTGCAGACAGCTGGATG